ATGAGGGAGCCTAATGTCTGTCAATGCATTTGGAGGCTCCCTTATGAAAATTATGTTTATCCATCTAAAACGACGCTTCGAGAAAATCCGTTATTTGTCTCTCCTGTAAAATTGGAAAAAATATGACTTAGGCCTACCATAGTTTACTTAGCGGCCCTTGGTTTTTAAATAAAGTTTTGGTGCGCACTCGTGCGCGCGCTGCGTTCAAAATCCCAGATAGGAACATGGCGTCTTGCTGATGTCCACAGAGGTGAGACAAAAACAACGCGTCAAACCTAGCCTCGACAAAACATAGGAAAGGTCAGATGTGTTTAGTAGATGTACTTTTTAAACGACATCTGTTACCGACACACTCTTAATAACATTGTACCATACTTGACCTAGATCTAGATTAGTTTTACTGCGAGTGTCGCTGGTAGGCTTTGTTGTCAAACAAACACTTCAAACAGAATTCTGTGCTGTAGCCTACTGTAGATAAGTACCGTAGTTTGTGACCTTTTTTCAATTTAATACAGTCCACAGGTTTTTGCTCTTGGTTTTATGTCTTATGAAGATAAAACATATGGTACGTGTCGTAAAAATTCGAGCGTAGGCTAATGCTGTTTGCCATGAGAGCAGTAAAATGATTGTTCCTTTAGTTTTTTTATTTGTTCATTGCAATTTTGTGTTCCCGCAGGTGCAGCACCACTTTATGATACATGTATAATATTGATTCTAGATCTAGATCTATACTAGATCTAGATCTAGAAATCTAGATCTATTCCTTCGCCGCAGCTTCCTACTTTCCTACTTTTTCATCTTCATTTCCTATGAGACACTAGACCTCTCTTTCTCTTGCCCTTTTCAACTCCCAGTGGAGCATAGGCCATCAACATTTCTCCAGCTGAAGCCTGTCCTGTGCACCCTTTTCTAGATCTAGGTGTTTTCATGATGTCCCCGCCTTTTCCATTTCCGATTGTACCGCTCGACTCCATGTCATCTTTGGTCTTCCTTTCTTACGTTTTCCTTGTAGATTCCACGTCAAAGCCTGTGCGATGATGCTTGTCGGGGGTCTCCTCAGGGTGTGCCCAATCCATTTCCTTTTCTTCACCTGTATCTCTTCCTTTACTGACATCTGGCTTGTTTTTTCCCACAGTTGAGCATGTTGTGACTCTATCGTACCACTTGATCCCCACTATCCTTCTTAGACATCCAACACTAGGCCAAGTGGTCATGGAATTTACTAAAAATCGATCTCTATTCAAACAAAACACGGATCCTCACACGAAGCATAATTTAGGCCCAGTATGTTGTTTATCATCTGTTTGGCTTTGTTTAATTTTATACGTTGTAATGAAAACATTGACTTTTCTTCCTGTTGTGCTCCTCGTATCTCTCCCGTATTTTGTAGGCTACACCTCGTTCTTGTCTTTCACTGTTTCACCCTTCTCTCAATATTGTAACCCTCCCCCTCTTCCGCACCAAAAGTTAATTTATTCCCTTATTTAGTTTCAGTCCCACATCCCCTTTATACAGGTGCTATGTCATGACGATGTTCTTGTTGTATTCAGACACGCATTCTAGGAGATTAGGGGGGGGG